GGAGAACACTTGATTTGTTGATTTAACAAACAATGCCAAAATCTCTGCTTGCAGATTTCCAGATTTCCAGATTCAACCACTGGACTTCTGAACGTACAATTCCAACAGGATTTAAAAGATTAGTTCACTCAATAAAACCATTTACTCCAACTCAGATCAATCGAAACCTGTAAGGCTTTCTATTTATTTCCCTTAAAAAGACATCCAGCTCTATTCCATTCAATGAAAGAGCCCATCAAGCTCCAAAAGGACAAAAAAGCATCATAAAACTATCATAAGTGGTTAATATGACTTGTGCGCTGTATTCCAAGATAGTTTGTGTGAGGAACAGACTGAAATTTAAGTCGTTATTCATTAGAAGTCTTGCTTGACAGCCTTGGACAGCATTCCCTTTCATTGTATGGAAAACAGCAGCTCAGACATTCTTCTAAACATCTCATTTCAAGTTCCACAGATGCATTTGGTGTATTTTTGCCAGATGAACTCATTAACGCAACTGCTTTTTCACGTAACAACCCAAGTGGTCTGTTTCAGCAAAGAGCAAACGGGGTGGGAGTGAGAACTTGATGCCTCTAGGCCTCTCCTATAAGCATTCCAGTCTACACTTGTATCAAGAATTTCTGGTTGCGTTCTCTTGTTATCACATTTCACCCTCCCAATCTTGTCATTAAAAACAGCGCTTTTTCCCCCCTTAAGAAAACTTTGGCTTTGACGGCAGTATTCTAAACTTCAGCTAGGAATCTCTTCATTTCTCAGTGCTATCTCACCTGTCAGAGGTGAGGAGAGAGGAGAGGATACACTCAACAGGCTGGCAGGTACGATCTTGTTCTTTCCACCTCACACGCTCTTTTTTTGCTGTAGGTCTAATACTAAGCAGTGACAAAGGAAAGAAAAAAATAAACTTCACTAAAAGGTCATGCTTTATTAAATAATTGATGGATAACATCAAATTCCCAAATCAGTTTAGCCAACACAAAACGAACACCATTAGGCACCATTCCAAGTCACTCAGCCTTCAGGGCAGTACTTTTTTATTCAAGGCCTGGTTTATAGTATACTTGTCTAACCATGTCAAAAGCAAGGTCAGAACCACTGTTTCTGAACGTTGTGAAGTACAGGTCTCTGTTTATAGACTCAGAATAAGAATTCGCAAGCTGCGTGTTTAACAAAACCGTTGGCCATTCTGAGCACAGCTGTTTGCTATTTGTAGCATATACTTGAGCATCTTGTGTGCAAAATGAGATCCAATCCTATTACAATATAAAAAGAATCACATTTGTTAAATGAAGCACATGGCCTCTCATTAGCAGAGAAGCGTTTATTTTCAGTGGCCTTACACTTAGCCCTCCATGTGCGAATGCAAAATACGGTCGAACACCATTAGGCACCATTCCAAGTCACTCAGCCTTCAGGGCAGTACTTTTTTATTCAAGGCCTGGTTTATAGTATACTTGTCTAACCATGTCAAAAGCAAGGTCAGAACCACTGTTTCTGAACGTTGTGAAGTACAGGTCTCTGTTTATAGACTCAGAATAAGAATTCGCAAGCTGCGTGTTTAACAAAACCGTTGGCCATTCTGAGCACAGCTGTTTGCTATTTGTAGCATATACTTGAGCATCTTGTGTGCAAAATGAGATCCAATCCTATTACAATATAAAAAGAATCACATTTGTTAAATGAAGCACATGGCCTCTCATTAGCAGAGAAGCGTTTATTTTCAGTGGCCTTACACTTAGCCCTCCATGTGCGAATGCAAAATACGGTACTCTGCTAAACTGCCACCTCATCAAACCTTTTAAGGTTTTAGCAGCCTCAAAAAAGACAGTCTCTCCTCAGAAGTGGCTTGTGCTAAAAAGCACAGCACTTAAAAGTAGAGAACGAAGAAAAAAAAGAAGGAGAAAAGGGACATTTTGTGCCCTGAAGGAAAATTTTTTTGATTTGTGCTTGATTCTATTGAGCACTAGAAACCAATGCGGGCTTGTGAGTCACCTGCCATGTAGTCTCAGTCTCGTGTTGGACACAAATATGGCTGGTATTAGGGTTGGGCCGATAGACGATGTTCAGCCGGTATCGCGATCCCCCCCCCATTCCCCCGCATCCCAATACCGTGTTCGGAAAGAAAATACCTTTAGGGGTTCCGTATAGGCGGAACCCCTAAAGGGAATAAATACGAGAGAATATTTTTCCTCGCAGTTATATCATTGGGTAATTATACTACATATATATTTCGGCATAAGGGGAAATACCTGGCATTGAAACTGGCATCGTGCTTTTGAATGCACGATCACTTTTAGTTCCACTTTAGTTTCACTTTCACTTTCGAGATTCACGATCGCACTTACTCTGTGTATACTATGCAGCGGCAGTACTTGCCACACATTTTACAAGATTATATGTTTGTCAGTGGTACTGAGGATCTGCAAATCATTCGCCATCGTCCTCAGTCATCTCTGTTTATGTGGTAAGTGAAATTTAATGTACTGTAGGATGTAACAGGCAACCGTTACACCGTGTCTACACCAGATGCGACAGCTGTCGTGTCGCACCGCGCCGCATCAGCTAAAGCGACAAAGCGACCGTTGAAAATCATTTGAAATTTGTGTCAGCACGTCATAAATAGAAC